CAATCGTGTTGTAATTTTTAATTTTATTTTGTGTGTTGTAATTTTTAATTTATCATCTTGTGCGTTGTAATTTTAAATATTATAATGTGTGTTGTAATTTTTAAGTTTTAATTTTAATGACTATTTATTTCACCGATTTTATTATGTATATGATTATAACATTATAATTAGTTTATTACATAAAGTCCAAGTTGAATTGAAAATAATAGTGTGGTTTAATTTGTAAAGTTGTAAAATATGTGGATAGTATTGAAAAGTTGTAAAAGTTGATGTAAAAGATAATATTTCGGGAATATTCTTTTGGGTTGGAGAATGAGTATTTCGGTTGAAGATGAATTACTGCAAAATAGGATAGGTACTGCAAAATGGGTTTGAGTATGAGGTATTCGATTGGAGATGGTCTTACAGCACAACACAAAACACAAAAGAAAATTAAAATAAAGTCTTTTCCACAAAGCCGTCTAAACAAATATGAGACTAAAGGACCTAAACTCCTCGCCCCGGTAGACAACCCTAGACCTGTAATCGGAGATCCACAACATACTTCAACTCCCAAATCTCGAAGACCCGAATCCAGGACACAAGACCCAACCTCGACCTAACCCGACTCCCTCTCAACCTAAAGGCCCCAAAAGCAGAGAAAAAACGGGAGAAGGGCGAAGAATAAAACCGGCCCGATCTCAGCGCCGACCACCACCGAGGGGATAAAAGGAGCCACAACCTTCACTCACGGGGGACCTGAGGACCCACCATATCACTCGAGAAAAAGGCCGTCGCCATGTCCGACGAGTCTCCGAAAGTTGGCCGCACGACTCGGTGAACGCCGTCGTCGTGGTGGCCAAGAGGCCCTGTGATAAGTAAAGTTCAGTTACATTTTGCCAAATTTGGTGCAAATTTAAGTTTCTGGTATATTTTTATTATGAGACAGAACTCCAAGCAGACGAGCTCGGAGGTCTACAGTTAATCAGCAAAACCTCTCTTGGGGCCTGAGATGTTTTCAAGGGGTAGGACCTCGGGCAGATGAGCTCGGGGTCCAAGGACATGTGGCAGACCTCGAGTAGTTAGCTCGAGGGCCAAGTTTTTTTAGAGCAACTACACCTCGAGTGGTTAGCTCGAGGGCCGAGTACTTTTTAAAGCAACAGGACTTCGAGTGGTTAGCTCGGGTGCCAAGTAAGGAGGCGGAACTTCGAGCAGGTAGCTCAAGGGCCTTAGTCTTATAAAACATCTGAAAGTTATTCATTTCTCAAGTGACAGTAGCCAGAAGTAGGTAGTTCGGGGGCCAAAGAGGTTATGCTTTTTAAGATAGAGATCCCGAGCAAGTAGTTCGAGTGCCTAAGAGGATGATTGGATATAAAAAATTTTGGTTTTGTTTGAATTTTTTTGTTTAGTTTGGTTAGTTTTGAAAATTTTGGTATTGTTAATTGTTAGTGGATATATTGAAATTTGAAATAATATTTAAAATAAAATAATTAAAGTTGATTTGATGTAAAGTAGGAAAGAGAAGATTTGAATTGATGGTTAGTTAAAATTATATGAGTGGATGAATAGTGAATTAAGGTGATGTGGTGTGTTGGAATGATTGATTGATATTATTTAATTATATTGATAATATTGATGATAGTGAGGTTGAGTAAAAGTGGAGTTAAAAAAGTGATTGCATTAAAAATGTTTGGATTTTTTTGAGAAATTTTTGTATCCAATCATGCTCTTAGAGCATCCACAATGCTTTGGGTCTATTTTTGCATATGTGGCAAATAAATAGACTTAAGTCCATAATGACATGGACAAACCCAAGCTAAAATATCCAAAATCTATCCAATGCAAAACAAAAAAGTACTAGGTCTAAAATGCTAAACAACCAATAAAAATATAGTAATAATAAATGCATACAAAAAAATGTGTTTTGCCTATTAAAAAGAAAAAGAAAATTGTGAACAATTAATGACCAGGTGGATTTGCACTTGGGTCCAAAATAGACCCAAGTGTGGACTTAGTCTCTTTTTTTCTAGTGTCACATAAGTTGGACTAGGTCTACTTTTAATTGCATTGTGAAATATTTTTCTATAGACTAGGTCTATTTCCTACATGGAATGCGATTTTTTTCTAAGAGACCCAAAGCATTGTGGGTGCTCTTAGTAATTACTAGTGTGTATCCCGTGCGATGCACGGACGGGCTTTTTACTTAAAACTTTTTCTAAGACTTTACATTAAACATAGTTATTTATGTTAACATCTCATTATTGTAAGAAAAAAAATACCAAATATGAAAAATTATATATTATTTATTTGAATATAATGAGTATCCCCAACCAAACTAATAACATCCAACATATGATAGATGATAAAATTAATTATATGATCGTCATACTTTTTTAATATATATATATATATATTTATATATATATTTATATATATATATATATTTCTAATAAATACGATGCATTTAATATCTGCATTTAAATTTGTATTTGGATATGAGATGAAAAATGAACATGTAAAAAAAAAAACTACCAAGAACCCACATAAAGTGTGATTCTTTGTAAACTTTAAAATATTTTGAGGTTAAGTAAATATTGACCAAAAAAATCTTCAATTAAATTGAACTATCAAAATATAAAAAATAATTTATGATATCATTGACCATATTTACCCGTTGTATTTAAAGATATCATTGACCATATTCTTATGAATTATGGTTTACAAAATATCATTTTCAAAATAACAATTTTTTTAATTTGAATTTGAGTTTTTCATCTAGCCGCCATCTTCCACAAAAAAAAAAAAGTATTTTGGAAAATTTTAGACGTGAAAATCAAATAAAATTAATTTAATAGTTATCGATTAAATAAAAATTATTCAAAATTGTTTGATTCATTCATAACCAAATTTGATTGGGCTTATCAAAATTGTTTAATAGTATTCAAAATTGTTTGATTCAAATTTGTAAATCTTATTCTAAATTATTGAAAATTTATTAGTTGTACAGTCGATTTATAATTATATATGCCTTAATTATAATTCTATTTCCAAACATGATTTGTAAATCAAATCAAATTTGTAATTCTTTATTATATTTTTTTTTTTATAAAGATCTTAATCATTAACTTTGTACAAACATGATTTATAAAATAAATCGAATTTGTAAATTTTCTCTTATTGTGAATTATTGAAAATTGATCGCGTGAATAAAAAAACAAATTGGTAAAAATG